ATTATAGTTTCAGCACGACAGGGAGTGTTCCCAGCTGTAGGTGTCAAGAGTGGCGCCAGTCCTCAGCATGGTGGCTCTGTCAACTGTATTTTGCCAGTGTCTACACAGGCTCCTTGCGCAGCCTCGATTTCGAACGCGTGACCGGCACGTTCCTCGGCGCCGCCCTCTCCAGTGCCAGCCGCGGAGCGCTACCGCCTCCGTGGCTAAAGCCATGTTGCCGTCCCCGATGCAGGTGTCCCTGTCGCACTCCTCCTGCAAGTCTCAGAGCTGTGGGAACGGCTATCCGGAGCAGAGCTCCGTGGAGTGGGACCCCAGCTCCTTCCTGTCGGCACACAAGCTCTCGGGGCTGTGGAACTCGGCTCACGCGAACGGGGGAGCGCACTGCAACCACGGAGCGGCCGCACACCCGCAGCAAGGTCAGGGAGCCCGCCGGACCACTCGGGCATGTCGGGGCAGCAGCTGCGCCCGCGCACGTCTTGATGCCCCCCAGCCTTCCCCCCTGTCTGTCTCTGAAGCTCGCACACCGATGCACGGGGGTCACATTGCTTAGCCCGACTCGTGTGGTAGATTTCGGTTTTGTATGAATCGGATAGAAGTTGTGCTGCCGTGCTTGGTTTTGCTTCTGTACCGCGACTAACGGAACAGATGGTTTGTAATAATTGTGTGCTTAACTGCAGCGCTACAGATAAATCTGTCAATCAAAACAAGGCTCTTTTCATCCTTCCCTCAGGCGACTCTAAATGCTGTGTCTGTGTTGCTCCAGGTGGCACAGAGGGACCAAATTGCCACGAAAAAAGGCCTTCTCACGAGGCCCCAGGGAAATCTGCAAAGATTGCTGGGACCAAGGTTTGTCCTTATAGTCACCCAGCTTCCCAGAACTCCAGTGCGACAGCTCCAGGGTCTCCTCTTTCTACCTCTTCTGATCTGTGCAAGACCACCCCCAAGCACTTGAAGTCCATGTGCCGGAGGCCCACCCCTCCAGGTGAGATCAGAGCTCATCGTTTCCTGTGTTCAATGGCTAGTGTTATTCACTGCTGCCGTGTCAGATTTTCATTACGTGAGATGTGGAGCTAAGAAGCAGAAGATAAGAATGCCTTACATTCACATCACTGCGGTTTTTCTCCATTGCATTTTGAGATGGGCGTTGTTGATCATTCATCACCGTGTATGAGATGATACACTAAAGGCAGAAGCTGTTGCATTTTTGCAACTTGACAGGCTTTATAAAGAAACAATTTTGTGTAGTTTAGTAACCATCTGTTGGAAAACACCTCACAGAGCTTTGCTGGGGTCAAAATCTTTTTTTTAAATAAGGAAAGAATGATTCTGTGAGTAAAAATACAGCTTGTTCTGCAGTTGTATAGTTTGAGGTCATACGCTGTCGAGTAGTTTTGCCACGACGCAAACTCTTGTGTGTCTTTCACAGGTGAGGCCTTCCATTCCACTGAGCACCATCAGCACTCAGACCTAGCTGTGCCGCCCAACAGCCCCACTGGGCTGTCTTCCCAGCATTCCTCACTGCTCCCTCCCAAGCAGTCCTCCAGTCAGCACGTGCACGGGACCTCTCCCAGCCCTGGGCTAACAACACACGCTCCGTTCACCCCTTTGGTACCGAACCTCCACGTGCCAGTATCCAAAATGGTAGCCGGACCAGACAACCCCGCTTCCCTACACAAGCCGGGAGCGTGCAAAAGCTCCCACATTCCGGCAGTGAACACGCAGCACGCTAAACTGGCCCCCTCGCCGACAGGATGTGGCCATCCCTGTAACGGGCACAGCAATGGGACTGTCACATCTCCCGGCGCGGGACACGTGTCGTCTGGAGCCTGCAGGTGAGCACCAGTGTTTTTCGTTGTCAGTTAAGGGCACGTTTAGAAACAGGTTCGTTTTTTTTTTTTTAAATGTGAACACTACTATATAGTTCAGAACAGACCTGCACCTTGTTTCTTATTCCTGTTATTTTTCTTTGGGGCAAGGTGGTTTTGTAAGGATCAGTCATTCATACTGAGACTCGTTCTTGCCTTCACAACTGTATATCTACCTGGTTGAAATAGAAGTCATATGGATTCAAAGACCGCTTTCTGGGGGGTTTAATGCAAGCTGTGTTTCATCCGTGAAGCCCCTGAAGGACCCAGATCGCTGGCTCGCGCGTTGGCGCTGCCCGTACCGATTGCCCTTGCCCAGAGCTGCCTGTCTGCTTGCAGGGACCAGGCGTGCAAAGGGCACAAGCTGGCGAACGGCACCGGCGCGGCGTGCCACCCGCCCTGCGAGCTGGAGGAGGGCCTGGGCGAGGACGAGGACAGCAGCTCGGAGAGGAGCTCCTGCGCCTCCTCCTCCACCAACCAGAAGGACGGGAAGTACTGCGACTGCTGCTACTGCGAGTTCTTCGGCCACAACGCGGTACGCTCCTGAATCGACCGCGGGGCTCCTTGAGGAGCTCGAGTCTGCCTGTCAGTCCGCCGGCTGGGCCCGCTTGAACACTTTCCAACTGTTCTGACCGCGGGACACCCAATTCCAACAGGACCCTATATTTGTTGTTACCATCTTTTCAGTCACCTTCACGTATTTAGACCATACAGTTACAGACTTAGTCATATTCACTTTCCTCTGTCTAATATAAGACTCTTTAATAATTGTGTAAATAAGCATTATTTGATATGTGTCTGTGTTCCTCAACTCTTTATTTTCTGGGTTAAATGAACGTGCATTGGTCCTAGTAGGAGCTATTTCCTTTCAATACAGTGGTCTTTAAGTGAGTTCCCTGGGTGAGGTTTAGGTAAGGCTTCACTACGGCGAATGGGAGCTGAGAAATCAGAATCTGAAGGCGGGTTAACCACTCCCGTCAGATTGCCCCATGAGTTAACATTAACATGTAACAGTCTTGTCTCCCCGAGATGCCCGGGAGCCTTCTTAATGAGTTGTTAGAAACTGTTGTTCTGGGCTTTGTAGGACTGGAAATTTTAAGAGTTCGTTTTTTTTTAACAGGCACAACTTGAGCTCAGACACCAGTGAACTAACCGTTTGACTTTTAGCGTGATGATTAAACCAGTACTAACACAGCATCTCGTTCCGTGAGGGGTGAAGGTTTGGCTTTTAATATGAAGGAGCCGACTGACTTCATTGCCTGCCTGTTATTCGAGACGGGGTGTTTTTGTGACGCACGTAGCTTACGATAATGGAAAACACTAGGTATGTGCCGTCTGCATTCGGATATAATACGTTGGCCTATATTTTGAGTTGGTAGACACCAGCCTCACCAGACTTTTGTATCACGTATCCCGACATTTAAAGGAACCGAAATGAATGTGAAATGAGCGTCAGGTGTTCTGATGTTGTGTCATGTTGTGTGGGATATATGGTTGAAGCTGAAAACGAGCACAGGAGTGTTTGCGTCATTTAAATGATCTCCATCGGACTTAAGGGGAAAGCAGCCTGTCGTTATCCCGGCAATGTGTTTCAACCTGCAGCGGGGAGACGTCAGTCAAGGGTGTTTGTTCTCCGATCTCTCCAGCCTCCCGCCGCCCCCACGAGCCGGAACTACGCGGAGATCCGCGAGAAGCTGCGTTCGCGGCTCACGCGGCGCAAGGAGGAGCTGCCCCCGCGCCAGGACTCGGACCCCGCGGCGCCCGGCGCCATCGACCACCGCGACGTGGACGAGCTGCTGGACTTCATCAACAGCACCGAGCCCAAGCCGGTCAACAGCGCCAAGGCCGCCAAGCGAGCCCGCCACAAGCAGAAGAAGAAGGTATTCTTATTCCCAGAATCGTTATTAAAATGATTATACTGCAAGGACTTGACAGTACGTATGTTTATAACCCTTACTACTACTGTGGGAGCTGACGCTCACTCTCACTGTGCACATTCCTGTTTGCAGGTACTAATTATGTTTAGAGTTATCAGTCTCCCAGCAGGTTTTTTAATCTCTGTTATTGGATTTTTTTAATAAGCCTTAAAATTCCTGTATGGAATGTAGTCATCTGTAACGTGGCCTCTAAGTGCTTGCAGTCAAGTGCTCTTACACTTCTACAGAGAAATATATTATACTGGGCAGATGAACTGTACAGGTTTAGCTGCTGTAGTGGGGAAAGAGAACTAACGTGCTGTGGCTTTGTAGAAAAATAATCAGGATTGTCCTAAAACGATCGAAGACGTTCGATTTGGGAGCCCTGTTAGTTGCAAAGCAACAAGTGAAGGTTAATTCCACCAAGAAAATTAGAAGTAAGAAACAAAACGTTTTGGCCTTTGAGTCGCCCTTTTCAAGCATTCACCTCCTCAGCCAAAACTTTTTGTTACTTCTTTCTACGTTTTAGTGCGGAATTGACCTTTACTTGTACCGTTGTCATAAAATGCTGCACTCGCACACGGGAAACGTTCCCCTTGATATGAGTGCCGGTTGCTGTCTGTGTGCCCCCCTGCAGGAGAAAGAAAAGGCCCAGCAGTGCAGTGCGGAACCCTTACACATTGATGCCCGGTCCTCACCCCCGGGGCAACCACAAGAGGGCGCTCCTGCGCCGGAGACAGAGGCAGGCCGGCTCCTGGAATGGCCTCAGCTGGAGCTGGAGCGAGTGAACAGCTTCCTGACCAGCCGGCTGGAGGAAATCAAGAACACTATCAAGGACTCCATCCGCGCCTCCTTCAGCATGTACGACCTCAACCTGGACGTCAACGATTTTCCCAAGAAGGCCGCCACCCTGGAGGGCAACCACCTGCTGTCGCACCTCAACGGCTCCTCCGACCTGCAGCAGATCGACCTGGACCTCTCCCCACTCACCCTGGGAAGCCTCAAGAACCACCTGGTCAACGGCAGGGAGGGTCTGGCCGCCCAGGACGTGCAGCGACTCAACGCCACTCCCAGCCTCTCCAAGCTGATCCGCGTCCGCTCTCCGGAGAGGAGCCCCGGGAGGAACACGTCTCCAGTCCCCTCCAGAGAGGGGGCGGCTCTGGGAGTGAAGAGCAAGGAGGAGAGTCCCGACGCGAAAGCCGCGGGGGCCGCTGGCAAGCAGAGGAAAGGAAAGAAGCAGCAGCAGCAGCAGCAGCAGGCGCCTGCTAAAGCTGTCAAGTCGGCCACTGGGAGTGAGCTCCAGAAAAACAAGGAAACCCCAGCGAGAGCAACGGGATCGGGGAGCAACTCCAAAACGGGTCCCAAACCACCCGCCCAGCCGCCGGCAGCAGCGGAGTCCCAGAAAAGCCATGTACCGCTGGCGAAGAGGCCTGAGGAGGGGAAGGTGCCCAGGCCAGGCCTCGGGGGTCCCGATTCTGGTGGCTGCCGGCCGCCGGAGAAGAACGGAGCTGACAGCCAGGAGACAACTGGGGGAGCCAGGCCGGACTTGGAACCTGAGGCCCGAGTCCATTTCCTCACTGCCGCCGGATCCCAGCAGCCTAGAGGAAAGAGCAAAAAGAGCAAAAGCAAGATGGATAAATCCAGCAGCTCCATTGGTAAGACGAACTTCTGGTTCCCCTGTAGCTTTATTCCGATGAGCTAGTGTGATAGCCACTCAATTTCTCAAGTAAAAACAGCGGTTTGTAAGTGCTACAGATTAAAATCGAGAAATATCTTTAGGCTATGTTTTGGGTTCTTGTATCAAAATAATCTAGGAATTATTGCAATCACAGATAATGCACCTTTGCAAGATACTCTTTGCAAAAAAATTCTAGCTTCCAAGTACCAGTGGTAGCTCTATAATATGACAAATACTTTACTTATCAAATTATACGGCTCTAGTTTTTCAGATTGACATAAATACCTTGATCCTGGGAATGCAGTGAATTTTGTGAGCAGTGCAGCTTGTGCTATTTAAATGTCCCCAGCCCCTTGATTTAAGTTTGTTGGTCCTGTGCTTGTCACAGGGTGTTGACACAGGATATTTGGGAAAGTAATGCCGAGAGATGAGTTCAGATCTTTTGATTTATATTTCTAGTCACCTTGTGATCCTGGGATTTCATCTTGAAAGAAGCATAGTTGTAGGTTGGGTAGCATATTCCATAATCCCACAACCATTTGCGTAAAAAAAAGTGCATTCTGTTACTAGTTTGAAATGCACTTTACCTTGGTATCCATTTGAACCTTTAAATTGAACTATGTGCTTGGCTTGGATTTTTACAAATATTGGAGCAATTATAAAGGATCATGAAGCCAATATTATATGCTGGACTTCAGACCTACCCTTTCTATTTTTATTATTATTTCAATGACCTGGTTGAATTAAACTACTGTTACCAGGCATCACTAATAGTGCTTGTTATGGAAGCCACCTGTCTCTGCACATTATTAACTGATACCAGTTAGAAGCTGTTTTGAAAACTGTACGAGAACATCACTTTTTATTTCCTAGGAATGCTACACATAAACGGGAATATTTGAGATGGTAATTGCTGAGTGGGGAATAAAAATAAAATTCAGCCCGATGGTTCAGCAAGTTTTTATAAATTAAGAAGTTAGTTGAAACGAAAGCCAGAAGAAGCAGGAGGGGTCCAGGACTGGGAGACATGGCTTTCTGACACGTATGTATGCAAATAATTCTGTTTCCAGCAATGACGTTCGAAACACGGTGGTGGTTGTAATTGAGGTCAGTTACTGATTGACTGATTGATTGAAGAGGTTTGGGTAGGTTTCCATGCTGAAAGGTAGTGGAAAGAAACACTGTCTTGGCTGTGAAGCTTTGTTCAGGAGTCTTTACCTGTTCCTGGTGTTGCGTGTCTTGAACCGAGCCCAAGACCCTTCCTTCCCCCTGCTGTTGTTTTGCGGTTGTTATCTGAGTGTCACCGTTTTCTTTTTCCCCACAGATGACGTGTTCCTCCCCAAAGACCTGGATGGGACCGAAATGGATGAAATCGACCGGGAGGTTGAATACTTCAAGAGGTATCGTCTGTTAGACTTTTTTTGTAACGGACAACAAAGACGCCTTAGTGGGATTATCTCAAATCTTCCAGAATCCTGACTGAGACTGCATGTTCCATATAGTATTTATTTTAAAAGTACATAATTGACCAAATTTAACAGTGTACAACATAAAACTTGTTATACCTGCACCTTGCCAGAATCTTTCAGTTCTTTTCCTTTGATTTGAGTCAAATCTGTCATTGAGGAAGTTGCCTGGTGTCAACTTTTTGGTGAAAGACATATTCGCGTTGGTCATAGTGCCGGCAGCATTGGTTTTACTCTATATTGGTGGCAGGTGAAGAATCCATGAAGTCCTCTTCTTTATAAGAATAGGCAATAGACCATTATATACGTGTTTTGTGGGAACACTCATACAATTTCTGTTGACGTTTATTGGAACATGAATTTCCTGGCCCGAGTTAACTCTTTTTAGTTAACCTACAGATCCGTACCGATACTTCCCTAGCAGTGCAGAGCTGTGCGCTCTGTCAGAGTATGCTGATCGAACTTTTGCTTTCCTTCATGCTCAGGTTCTGCCTGGATTCTGCCAAACAGACGCGACAGAAAGTGGCTGTGAACTGGTCCAACTTCAGCCTCAAAAAGGTTCCCTCGAACGCAGCTCAGTAAGCACACGAGCAGAAGAACAGACAGCCCAGCGCACACCTCCTTCTTCATCTCCTCCCGCGCCACTTCCGCCACCCTCACCTCCACGGCACCCCCGAGACTCGCAGGCCTGCGTGACGCCCCAAATCACCGCGGGCAGCTGGACTGGCAGCGGGCTGAATCCTCCACCGCAGAAACCAAGGAAACTTTTCCAAAGCCGCTTCATCTTTTCTGGGCCGTTTGTTGTGCGGCCAGTTACCCCCCAGGGCCCTGAGGCATTCACCACCTGTGACACTCCACGTATCTCCCAGCCAGTTTGTGTCACGTGTTCGGAAGAGACGAGCAGTGGCTGCAGCCTGCCCCCTCCAACGCAGCTGCCTGTCAACATTAGCTTGCTAATGGTTCTGAAGACTCTGCTGGTTGTAGGTCCACTGCCTTTCTCCCATTGTGTGTTCAGGGGCCATGTTATACTGTCCTCACTCTTATTGTACTAAGCAAGCAGTCACTGCTCAATGCAGACATTGCTTTTTAAAAAATAATCTGCCAGTTTGGCGCTTTCAATTAGCAGATCTCCAGTTTCGCATCAGGTTATAGCAAATGGTTACGTTCTTAATGTACTGTTCTTATTCAGATCCTCCTTCTTGGTGATCTTCAACTCTGTTTTTATTTCTTCAGATCATTGTTGTTTGTTCCTACGTATTCGTACCAATTTTAAAAAATTTTACAGTGAAATTCAACAATTTCAAAAATTGTTTAAGTTTTACTTTAAGTTGAGCGCAGAGGGGACAAACTGAGAGCACTTTTTAGGGAGACTAAAAATTGGTACATTATTGTATTCTGGCAAAATCATTCTCACAACAGATGAGTGCACCTTGCTTGGATGATCCGATCATGGTCATATGGGAACTAGAAATATCCCACCACACTAAAAGTTTGTGCCGATTAACATTGCTTTGAGACCTTTTACTGGTTTTTATAATTCTCGAACAATAAGAAGAGAAATTGAAAACCAGTGCCATCTGCTGGTTGTTTTGATCACTCATTTCTATTACTAGATAAAAGCTGGATTGACAATGTACCACACATGTCTCATTCGCATCTGCTATTGTGAAGCTTGATGCTGTGTAGTGGTGGTAGGGGTTTTGAATTGAACATAATGTTGGTCTCTTTCCACCACTGGAGATGATACATCTTGCGCAGCATTAATTAGGACCTTGATGCTTCAGAGTGAGTGGAATCCTTACTGTCAGTATAGTTGCCACAAAAGACTTTCTGTAAATTTGCAGGACAATATGAACACGTATGCTTCCAATTGACACTGGTTTCAATATGCAGATCTGTAATACAATAGTCCTTCTATGACAAGACCTTAAAGTTTTTTATAAGTCATTATAATTAAGTACAAACCTGACATGAATTACAACACTAATAGAAAACCTTTAAAATTCTCTCAATGTTGAATATTTGAAACAAAGTTTCTAACTTTTCATTTGAAAATATGGATGTATCGAGAATATACTGGATATCTCTTATTGTTGCATGGAATTTTAGAATGACATTGGCTTCATTTTCCCCACTTCCCTTTTAATTTAATTTGACTTTAACCTCTTGTTAAAGAGTACATTTTAATCAACATGGATTTCAGTGTTTTACAGAAACTAAATACCTCCTGCACAGCGGTCTCGGATAGAGTTCTTTACTGTTACCGTACCCAGAATGCTGTTGCTGTCAGTCCAATACCTTGATTCTGTTTTCTGTGTACTTCCAAGACTGTTTTACTGCATGACAGCCTCAATTAGTTGTGTTGTATTATGTCAGCACTTAAAGCAGCAGAGCTTTTGCAGTTATGGTACAATTCTTTTCTTTACTGTCCAGATCCCTCTGTAAACTCTCTATTGTCTCAAGCCTACCTGTTGTGTCATTTCGTGACCACGTCAGCAGTGATGTGTAACTGACAGTGCATTTTTGTTCCAGTACTAGTACTGCTTTTACCTTTCAGATACTGGAGACCCATTCCCAGAACTGGGAAGTGGACTACATTGTCATATGGGCTTTCTCCATCGTGTTTCTCTACTAGCTGGGCAACCCCTTTAGATATAAGATGAAATACGTTTAAGGGGGAGGTTTGGGTTATTTAAAACAAAATACTTCCTTAGTCTGACATGAATGAGATGATGTTTTTTTTTAAATCTATTTTGAACTTTTTTTGTGTTTAATATTTTACACGATCTCTGGTGCTATCCAGGTTATATTAAACTACAAGACAATATCCTAAAAGTTTGGAATGTAGATTTATACTGTACCGTTAAGAGCCAAAGTGTATGTTGGCTTCTCTGTTTTTTATTATTCTTCACTTTTGATACTGTGAAAAATCTTTCATTCTGAAAGGTTAAAACAATACAGTTTTGACAAAAGAAAAGCTGTGTCGTGTTCTTTTTTTCTCTTCTTCATTTAATACATTAAATGATATACACCAATTTAAGTACTAACTGCTTTAGCCAACAGTAGGCCACGAGGGTGCCTGTTGGAGAAAACCCATGCAAACATCAAAAAGAACCTTTCTTAAATGCATGAGAATTAGTGTACAGTTACAATAACATCTATTTTTCCGGCTTGAGAATATAACTAGCTGAATATTAAAAGAGCTTCGGATCCTTAAATTATCGCAGGTGTCAGCTCGACGTATCATTGTGTGGATGTTTCGATACGATAATCAAGTTTATAATTCCTGGAATTATAATATTCAACAAAGAATTCAGGTTATCTGAAGATTACAGGAAACAGTTCAACTTGACCTGTTTTTTTAGGCTACTTCAGTATGTGCAGTATAGCAATTAAGTAACTTTTGAATTAGCTGTGCATTTACATTAAAACATTCTCAACATCTATAAAACAAGTAACAAGGAACAGAAATATTTAAGATATAGACTTCTTTCCCTTTAAATTGTTTAACATTTCTCCGATTTCGTTCAATGATCTTGTTCAGTGGCTTACATCTGGTTGTCCTTTGGCAAGGTTTGCACCTTGTCAGCCACCGTAGCTGTGTCGTCAGACAAACGCGACGGACGTGGGTTTGTTTTTTCTTAGTAGACCAGCGCTCCTACGATCCGGAAGGGGAGTTTAAACACGCTTTCTATAACATTTCGAAGAGAATTATACAGATCCAAAAAATGGAAACGGAAAGCAGAACGAGAAAGGTAAGTTAAAATGCTATTAATGTATTATTATTAATGTGTACACACACACACACACCAGAAGAAGGCTCCACGGCCGAAACGTTGTGTTTTCTTTCTTTTTTTCCAGCATGGAATAAACCTATTGTTCCTTTGCAGCCTACGCATGCTGACGCAGCTACCTACCTGAAGCATATATAGATTCTTATGCAGAAAACGAAATGTTAGACTAGGCGATACAATGAAACTTTATAAATTTGATGAACGGACATTGGCATTAACATCCATTTTGATAGGATGTTAGTGCGATAACTAAGGGATAAATTGGCTTAATTACACAAGTCATAATATCTATCTTTGCAGTGATAAACAGGCACATTTAAACTAGACACCTTTTCAAGAAGATATACCAGAAGACTACTTATTTTAAAAAGCCATGATATACTCTGCCAAACCTTCCTTATTTCGTCTCTTCACAGAGAGTTTACCAGGAAGAAGAGGAGGCCTCCGATTTTTCCGACGAGGAGAAATATGTTCCTTTTGTTCCAGTGAAACAGCGAAAACAGCAAATGGTAGAAAAAAACTGACTTCTGTTCAGACTGTGACGGTTAGGAAAAGTAGTTGGGCACACAGTTTTGTGTTATGTCGGTTGTTTTGAGGAATATAAATCCTTGTTTGGGACTGGTCGGCTGGTAGATATGAGGAAATTTGTGTGAAAACCCTTCATAATTCCATCAGCCCTACCCACTTTTTTTCATCTTCTGGAGAGAGTACCGAAGATTCGTCTAGTACACACCATACAGCAGCCTTTGGCAGACATTAATTTGAAGCCTGTGAAAGTTTCCGCATAGCTCTTGTTTTAATGCTTAGTGTAGTTTTTTTTAACAGCATGACTCACTGATGTAACAGAGACCAAAGTTTATCACTTGATCTTTCCCATACACCTTCTGGTTTGCATTCATAATAAACTTAGCTACCTAATATTTACAAGTTTTTCTACTAAGATGTAGAAAACAGAGTTGGGATTGTCTTTGACTTGTGAAATGTCATACTGTAGTTACATACTGAAGTCAACCTTCAACATGTTGAAGAGCTGCAAACTTTCAAACAGTTCAGATTAATACTACTAAATATTTAAAGACAGGTTCAGTTGTGTAACCCTATCCAGAACAAACACCCACAGGTGTCACAGGTGTTTGGGTCTCCGCCAGGAACCCCTGACTTGGAGAACAAGAACTCGCTGCACAGTGACTAACGACCAGAGTAGCTAGATGAACTGCAGTGCCGTTTCTCATTTACAGCCTTTAGTATATTCTCTAGAGCGAGACAGCTAACCTGTGCTCTGCGTGTTCAGTTACAGAAATTGCTACGTCTGAGAGGGAAGGGCTTGACTGAGGAGGAGCAGAAGGACAGTGGCAACGAGCAGAGAGATGATGAGGAGGCTATAGGGCCACGCTCCAATGTCAGCCTGCTTGACCAGCACCAGCACCTCAAGGAGAAGGCAGAGGGTACAATATGGAAAATGCCACATCCGCTCTCTCGTTTTATTCATGCGCAACTGAAGCCTGCAGGGCTCATGGCAGAGCACAAAGAGGCTTTGTCGTTGGTTGAAAAACCGTTCATGTGGGATGTGTGTGCAAGGCGTTAAACAGCACGCGCTTGACTCTTCTTCGAAAGCTGGACTAGCTGATGATGCCCTGATTTCATCACACTCTTTGAATTTGTGTACTACTGAAGTATCCTCATCCATTGTCTCATTTCTGGATGAGGCATTTTGAAGATAAGATCTTCATTTTTCTTTCCTGTACAGGCTTTTGCTATAGGGTCATTCTATGGGAAGTCAATTGCTAAAAACCTTATCTTGCTTTGATTGTGAGAGATGCCTACCTTGCATGGTTTCTTTGGGATAAATGGTTACAGTTGAAATATTAAGACGGTATGCTCGGAAGCAATTCAGTGGTTTTATCTTAAACATGCAGCGAGAGTGAGTAAATGTCTAGGGTATTATGCACATCACACTGCCACCACCATGTTTGACTGTTGGTATGATGCTCTTACTGTGGAATGCTGTGTTTGCATTATGCCAGACATAATGGGACCCATGTCGTCCATAAAAGTTCCACTTTTGACTCATCTGTCCATAGAACATTCTCCCAAAAGGCTTGGGGATCATCCAGGTTCTTCTTGGCAAATGAGAGATGAGCATTTATGTTCTTTTTGGATAGCAGTAGTTTCTGCCTTGCTACTCTCCAGCGAAGCCCATTTTTGCCCAGTCTCTTTCTGATTGTGGAGTCATGAACACTGACCTTAGCCGAGGCCAGAGAAGCCTGCAGTTCTTTAGATGTTTTTTTAGGATACTTTGTGACTTCCTGCATGATTTTACACTGCGTCCTTGGAGAAAGTTTGGCAGGTCGGACACTCCTGGGAAGGTTCACTACTGTTCCAAATCTACTCCATTTGGAGATTATGGCTCTCACTGTGATTCAGTGAACTCCCAGAGCCTTAGAATTGGCTTTGTAACCCTTTCCAGACTGATAGATACAGTATCAACAACTTTTCTTCTGACCTCTTCAGGAATTTCCTTTGATTATGGCATAATGTGCTTGTTGAAACTTTGTGCTGGCAACTTGACTCTGATGGTAAGGGTCAAAATAAGTCAGGTTTATATTGAGCAGGGCTGACTGTAATCAAGCCTGGTTGTGTTCAGTCAGCTGACTCGAAATGATCCCTTTAATTGGGTTGATTTAACTAGGGGGCAATTACACACAGTGCCGGTTGGTGTTGGATAACTTTGTTCATTGAATAAATTAAATAAGTAAAAACAAATTTGTTTATTTGTTCACCCAGGTTCCCTTTATATAATATTAGATTTTGGTTGAAGACCTGAAAATATTCAGTGTAAAAAATCTGGAATAATAGAGGAAATCAGGAAAGGGGCAAATACGTCTTCATGGCACTGTATCTCACAAACAGGATGTGGTCCAGACCTAGTATGTGCACAGTATTGTGCACTCCCAAAGACAGAAAGGAAAAGAAGGAGTTGTGTATCAAAGTATACACTGGCTTAACAGTGTGGTGTAAAGTAAAGAGTGCGATATCTTGACTTGCTTAGTTCAGGTGCACTGTAAAATGTAAGTTGTTGGACAAGGGGATTCATGTGCAGAATGTACCTAACTGCTTCCTGTACCCATTTGACCCCCTCCAGCACGAAAGGAGTCTGCAAAGGAGAAGCAACTGAAGGAGGAAGAAAAAATCTTGGAGAGTGTGGCTGAGGGGAGAGGTAAGAGCTGGGATACATGCTGTTTCCCTTTTTCCTTTTGTTTTGAATTTGTTTGTATTGGATTGGAATTTAGCAAATCAGTTTCCATGCAAACTTGGTATTCAGTTGTTTTCTCTCTGACTTTAATTTGATAAATAACATACAGAACACTTTATTATTTTAATACTTGTAATAATTCTTTAATGTATTAACTGTACTTGCCTTCTTCCATCTTAGCTTTAATGTCTGTAAAGGAGATGGCGAAGGGCATCACATATGATGATCCAATAAAAACAAGGTGAGTATGTTTTTTTTATTAAGTTATACATAAAGTCTTCTGTGCTTTGCCTCTTTGAAGATGTTAATCTTTATGTAGACAAAATATCATAATGCACCATGTGAAATGAATCCAAGAATATTTTAAAATCAGGTGATGACTATATTGAGACTTAAGTTGTTTTTTTTCTTCTCTGGTGAATATTTAAGATGATGTCTTTGCATATGCTGTAAATGTTTGTCTGCTGTGATGGAAGATCTCGGAGGAAATTTTCGTTGCTGCTATGTGTAGTTTACCAGTAGGTGGCACTCTTTCCTCTGAAGCAGAAATTACACACCAATGCCCCATGTAGGAGGTGCTGTTCTTCAATTGAGAGATTAAATGAGCTACCGATAATTTTGTCGTTAAAGATGCCTGAGCAGTTTTCAAAGTTTTCATTAACTTTATGTATATTTTTGTCACATCGGGTCATTTTAAGATTAATGGATACCTAAGTTTACAACCCTTAGAAATCAACATAGTGTTTCAAAGGCGGAGCAGTGGCTCTGTGGCTCAGGATCTGCGCCTGTGGCTGGAAGGTTGCCGGTTCAAATCCCGCGGCCGGCAGAGGAATCCTACTCATCTGGGCCCCTGAGCAGGGGGCCGTATAAATGGCTGACCCTGCGCTCTGACCCCCAGCTTCTCTCCCTGTCTGTGTCTCATGGAGAGCAAGCTGGGGTCTGCGAAAAGACAAATTCCTCATAAAAGAAATTGTATATGGCCAATAAAGTGATGTTAGAAAAAGAGAGCTGTCATTGTGAAGATATGATAAAATGCGTCTTAATTATGAACAGTAACTCACCGTACGGCATGTGCTATCTTTAGCTGGAAGGGCCCAAGATACATCCTGAGCATGCCTCCAGCTCGCCATGACCGTGTCAGAAAGAAGTACCACATTCTGGTCGAGGGAGAAGGTATCCCACCACCTATCAAGAGCTTCAGGGAGATGAAGTTCCCTGCAGGTAAAGAGATTTGCTTTCATTGGGCGTGTTTTTCTTTACAGCTAGCTGGCAATGCATGTTTGGACCATACCAGAACCTAGCTTGTAATGTGCATCTCGCAGTATACACTGGAATAATTTGCATGAGGAGACGATTACATGTCAGCTCATTTTCGGTTTTTTTGTTTTAAAGTGCAGGATTGCTTTTTTTTGTCATAAATTACACTTAAAATGTGACTCTAAGCGCTGTGTACACTGTTTCATAAAGGGTGTTTAGTTGAAGCACACTGTTCTCCGCCTTTGAAATACAGTAGAACGTTACTGTTGTTTCAGTATGCTTACTTTCATTCTTTGTTTTGCAGCAATATTAAAAGGATTGAAAAAGAAAGGAATTGTTCATCCAACACCTATTCAAATTCAGGGGATTCCAACTATGTAAGTTTTCTGTGAAAATCACAAAGGAGAGCCTCACACATTATTCTGTTAGTGATTTAGGTTGTAATGTAATGATCATCCATTAAAATGTTTATTTGTGGGAGTATGGGAGATAGCTTTAGCTGAGTGGCTGCATTTTTTTCCCCAAGTAAAATAAAAGCAAGTAAATAGTCATTTATAATAATATTACTACTTATAATAATTGCTTACACTTGTATAGCGCTTTTCTGGAGACTCCACTCAAAGCGCTTTACAGGTAATGGGGATCCCCTCCATCACCACCAGTGTGCAGCCCCACCTGGATGATGCGGCAGCAGCCATAGTGGACCAGTACTCTCCCCACACATCAGCTATTAGTGGGGAGGAGAACAGAGTGATGAAGCCAGTTCATAGGGATTATTAGGAGGCCATGACTGGTAAAGGCCAATAGGTAATTTGGCCAGGATGCCGGGGTTACTCCGCTACTCTTTTCGAGAAACACCCTGGGATTTTTAATGAACACAGAGAGTCAAGGCCTCGGTTTTACGTCTCATCCGAAGGACAGCGCCTTTTTACAGTACAGTGTCCCCATCACTATACTGGGGCACTAGGACCCACACAGACCACAGGGTGACCGCCTCCTGCTGGCCCCACTCACACCTCTTCCAGCAGGAACCTTAGTTTTTCCCAGGAGGTCTCCCATCCAGGTACTGTCCAGGCTCACACCTGCTGAGCTTCAGTGGGTTGCCAGTTGTGAGTTGCAGGGTGATATGACTGCTGGAAAAAGGAAAAAATGCTGTCCTGGGTATTACCTTATCCTAGATTATTTTTTTATTGTCGCAGACAAAATAAATTTACAAGAGTTGCATATAATCATTGTTACTTGGTTATTTCTTATTATGTGCTATACATAGATGAATTTTCTTTCAGTGCTTGAAAGAGTGCTAAATTTGATTGCAAAAAAAGTAATGGAATATCACTTTATTATCATTTAACAAACAGATAACACAATGATCCTGGTATCTAAAACTGATTTGAACCCTTGTTTGGTTTGTAGGCCTCACATACAAGGCCTGAATCTGCTTGTGTTTCCTTGTTTGGTGACTAATGTCTGTGCTCTTCCAGCCTGTCGGGCAGAGACATGATTGGAATCGCTTTCACCGGCTCGGGAAAGACCCTGGTTTTCACGCTGCCGATCATCATGTTCTGCCTGGAGCAGGAGAAGAGGCTGCCCTTCTTCAAGAGGGAGGGGCCCTATGGACTCATCATTTGCCCCTCTGTAAGTTTTACAGCCCCCTGTTGGTTCTCAAAGGGACGTTTCGAGACTTAACTGGGGAGCCAGCAGTTCTGTCTCATCTCTCTTGGGCAGGAACGTAACTTACTATTTAGATGATGACCTTTAATTGTGATCATTTTAATTGTGCCCGTTGTTTGGGAACATAATTTAAAAATTAACCCAGTCTGGAAGATTTCTTCTACTCCTGAGATGCATTAAGTAACATTCTTGCACATTTTAATTTGTTTCAACCCAAGCGATGGTTTGGAATGACATTCCAAAGGTGTAGCCTTTTTAAAAATGCTGCTTTGTTTTCCGATAATTGCCGTGGTAGAACAGCATGCATGGGTCTCCCACCAAACCACCGTCTGTGTCCTTAGTACTGTTGACATGTGAGTGACGCAGGGTTCTCAGGAAAGCTATCAAACAACATTAAGTGGGCGACCTTGAGGTGAATGGGAGGTAGTATTCGTGCAACAGTGTGTCTGATTGCTGCCCCTTCCAGAGAGAGCTGGCGAGACAGACCCATAGCATCATTGAGTACTACTGCAAGCTGCTGGAGGAGGAGGGAGCCCCACAGCTGCGCTGTGCCCTGTGCATCGGGGGCATGTCTGTGAAAGAGCAGATGGAAGTGGTCAAGCAGTAAGTGTGAATTGTCCCCTGCTACTCTGTGGTTGGTGACTTATACTTTAAGGGTGTATTGTCTACATGCAGCTCATCTTTTCTTATTCCTGGAGTACCTAGAGGTATTATATTCAGACATTACTTTAAAAAGCTTGTAGAGTTAGATATATGTAAGTGATCACAAAGTAAAAGCATTCAACTATTGAAGGCAGCTTCTTTAATCTACTGGAGTGCAATAGATCACAGTTGACCCTGGTTACAAATTCACTTTTTTTTTTAATGGTCATTAAATCATGATTGACTGAGAACTGTGTTGGTGTTAGGGGTAATAAAATAATTTATTTGTTTTGCAAGCCATGGCGTAGTTCACTTTCTGTAGTGAACAGAATGTGCTGGACGTGCATGACTCTGTGTGTGCGCTCTTTGGCAGTGGTGTTCACATGATGGTGGCCACCCCAGGGCGGTTGATGGACCTACTGCAGAAGAAGATGGTAAGCCTGGATATCTGCCGCTACCTGGCCCTGGACGAGGCAGACAGAATGATTGACATGGGCTTTGAGGAGGACATCAGGACCATCTTCTCCTATTTCAAGGTAAAATAAACTAAAACTGTAAAATGTGCTGGAACATTATTGGGCAGCCTGCAGTCCTCAGAGCAATTAAGGGTGGCCTCAGAGGGATCCTAAAAACATAATTTGTCTAATTTAAGACATGGTTTTAAAACTTTTTGCCCACCAGGAATGCTTAGACAAATTGAGGGTGATCATGACTTGTGTTAATTCTGTTGTAAGGGGTGTGGCTGCAAGTCATGAGGCTAACAGGGTTAGAAATGTTGATCTTCATGATTTTTAGATTGCGCAACAGGGATGAAGGTGTAGAAGGGGCTTTCTCCAGTGAGCTGGCTTGCCATGGAGGACAGACAGGCTGCTATAACATAGAGATCTCTGGTTCAGACCCGAACAGGATTCCCCAAACGTTAGAACACAGTTTTTCGAGCCCTCTTGGGTTGGTGGGGTTTGTTGGCAGTCATTCTTAGTTTACCAGGCAGCAGCAATGCCTGCGGTTTTGCAGACACCTTTGAGCCTACTTTGCTATCAGTGAGAGCTGTATCAGTACTCCATCTGAAGCTGAGCTGCTGACACTGTGGGGGTTGCATTGTGAGAAGCTGCACATTGTGAGAAGATGCAGGAGATAACGTTTCTCGTGGACATTGGAAGATTTCAAGACCAATCCCCGGGCCCACCCACATCCCAAACAGACAAAGCAAAAAGAACACTGAAACCTGGATTCAGAGTCCCTTTTTTAACTTTTTCCAATCTTGGCAAAGAGAGACATGAAACAGGTAAGAAAAAAAATAGACTTCTCCCCCCCCCCCCCCATTATGCAGTGAAAATTGCATAATAGATTTCAACAGAGCCTGCAAGTTGTGTGCAGCTCTGACAGCAGCAAAGTTTGCTTCCCCTATTTCACACTGTTGCCATGGAGCTCGTCTTGTGTGACTTTCCTGCTTGTGGATTACAGGGCGGTTCAGTTTAGAAAGTACCAGCCGTGTTAAGCCTGAAGCACTCCTTCTGAACCTGTCTGTGGACAAGCAGGAGGGGTCGAGATTACAAAAATATATGACTGATTCGGGCACAGTTCATAATGTATTCTGAGGCATAACTTTACAAGTGCAGTTTGGGCACATCCCTGGATGTTCATCTGAAGGATAATTGATCAAATAATTAAACTCTTGCATATTGTTACAGTTCTTGACAAAATAAAACTGTTTAAACTTCTTTGTTGTTTGTCAGCTTTCACGACATACTGTACATGTTTAGTGCCTTTAACTCAGATTAAAGCTGTTTATTTTTGTGATCCTGGTAAATGGGTTTTAGTCCTTATATCACCATTGCCCCATATGACATTGTTTCAAATACAGATGTTTGTGTTTTTAGGGCCAGCGGCAGACTCTGTTGTTCAGTGCCACTATGCCCAAGAAGATCCAGAACTTTGCCAAAAGCGCATTGGTGAAGCCCATCACCATTAATGTTGGCCGCGCTGGAGCCGCAAGCTTGGATGTTATACAGGTGAGAGAGACACTGGGCAGGTCAGCAAATGCTGACATTATCTCGTGCCAGTCCTGGTAGTTAATTCTCTGTTTTATGTTTCTGCCCAAATAAAACTCCGGCAATTAAAAAAAATAATAATTGCATTTCTTACATCATTTATAAGCAATAGAAAAAGATTTTGATATTCCTGTTCTATGTCATTTTGATTAATTCATTCTTCTGTAGGAAGTGGAGTATGTGAAGGAGGAAGCTAAAATGGTCTACCTACTGGAATGCTTACAGAAAACTTCACCGCCGGTATGTGAGTTATAGTTATGATTGGGATTATGATATTGATGATGGTTGTGATCCTTGTTATTGAGATCTGTAACAGTCATAATTCAGTTATTTTTCCATGGAAGAGATTATGTGAGCGCACTACACAACGTGTTTTTTTAAGGTTTGCTTGCAAAGGTGCAGTTGTTTAGGATCTTTGACCCTGTGTACCTTCTTATTGACACTTTGTGTAGACATTTCTTCCTAGTGATATGACTGCGGTTTGGTTATGTCCCATAAAGAAATGGCCTCATGCACCTCAGTACATAAAAATATTTTTTTCTCTTCTTTCCATCTCTACATTGCAGGTTCTCATATTCGCTGAGAAGAAGGCCGATGTGGATGCCATCCACGAGTACCTCTTGCTCAAGGGTGTGGAAGCAGTGGCTATCCATGGAGGAAAAGGTAGATTTTAGCCTTGGCTACTGCTAGGATCTGACTGCAGTAGATCAGTATATCAGTTTGCACAGTGACTTCTCTTAAAGCAAGGAAAAGGTGGCATTGGTGGGGTTTCATGATGTTTTTCATGATGATTTAAACCTGTTCCAGTCTTGTTTCAAGGAGGTGCCAGCTGAGCCACCCTGTTAATTACTGGATCTATTCCCTCGCCTTCATTTGCGGTCTATGAGCTGTTTTTGGTACTGGTCACTGATGATGTGGAAAAGGCCTTCTGATCAGACAACTTGGTGTTATTTCTTGTTCAATGAATAGCACCCAGTTTTCTCCACAGTAGCATATTTTTGTTAAAGGCCTTCATGTGAAGAATTTGTCCGGAGGCTAGCCTCAAACACTATGCTCGGAGATTAAGAGAGTATGCAGATCATATAAGTATTAAAGATTTAAATGTTATGTTACACACTCCAATATACTTTACAAGTAACAATTCACTGTCTTGTATTGCTCTTGTGCAGTATACTTGAATTCTGACCTCTAGTGGAATTAATGAATGTTGCATTATTTGTTTTCTCATTGCAAAGCTGTTTCAAAGACTAATTTCATTGTTCATAGTTGTGCAAGGATTTTCCTTTTTTATGTCTGGAGGACCTCTTTTCAAGAATTACTCTAAATAGGCTCCTCTAATTTAAATGGAAAATCAAATTGTTAAATTTTCTTATAAGTAGACTGCTGTGTGTTACTAGTAAGCTCTTATCCGTGGTAATACGGGGCAGAGCATGAGTAAAACCGAAACATGGACTATGACAAATTGGTAAATCTGTAAATATTTAGGTTATTGTGTAAATTGTTTTGTAGTGACTTGCCTATTTAACCTCTTAAATCCTGGTCTAGAAACTTTAGTAATGTAGAAGATAGTGAAGATTCTGAAACGCCTGAAAAGTTCATAAATCACTTGATTAACGGGTCATTTTCAGTGTTCCAAACTACTAAATGGCTCAGATGCTACTACAAAACATCTAGACATTGCTCAATTGAAATACACTAGTGACATTAGGCTAAATAAACACTTTTTGTTTTGCTTTAGAGTTTTTACATGGTCCACTACTCTCGGTTTAGTGGAGCAAAAGCAATGCAAAAAAAATGCATCTTTTTTTCTCCGTCTCAAAAAACTCCAGCAGCTCCAAAGACAAGGAAAACGTATTAAATGTCTGCTGCATGACAAAATGTTTAAAAATAAATGTCCCATTGTTTAATTTTTTAATCAGTCCTGTCTTTCGTGTTTCAGTATTTTTCATGCTTTCCTGAGGGTATAATTTTGCTATTCAGCAGTGTTGTTTTTGTCCCCCAGTGAGTTGAGCTTTTTTCGTGTAGGTAAATTGCAATCTACCAGAATCGCCTTCGTTTAACCTGTGGTAAACATGGTTAACCCAGTACAGAATGGTGATGAATTCACTGTAAAAAAAGTAAAATACTAAAAGCAGAACTGCAGGTCAGCAGCCACACTCTTAAAACTGTCAGAGCAGACCCACTAGCATGACTTATACCTCTTTTTAAGGGGGGAACCCAAGAATAGTCTCTTATACTTCTGGTTGAGGACACCTGCTTTAGTGCATGTTGCTTATGCTTGTCAGAGACTGTTATTGCTTAAAATTTGAGCTCTTCCTGTGCGCAGGTTTGGTACAATTAAAGGTATGTAAAATACTGCATAAAATGTGGTACAGGCTTGTTTGCCATATAGGCTAGCACTTGACAGACCAGCGGTAGAAATTAAATAAGTTGCTTTGTAAGGCTTTTCTTAGCACAGATGGTTCTGTGAGGATGAAGTGATATCTGCAGTGACCCTCGAAACCATGAGCACAAAGTAAAGGGCAGGAAGGCAGTGATGCCGTCTGTCATAGTATGTTTTATTTTGAGGTTAAAGAGCAAGAGGAAGGTGATCACCCTTTTATTGCATTAAAAGTGGAGGCTATGTGCTTATCAAACTAAAACCTCACTTGGCATAGAAGCTGAGAGCGCTGCGGATTGAATTTCAGAAGAGGTATGTCAACAAGGATGTTTGTGCTCTCAGACCAGGAAGAAAGGACCAAGGCGATTGAAGCCTTCAAGGAGGGGAAGAAGGATGTGCTGGTGGCCACTGATGTTGCTTCCAAGGGTCTGGATTTCCCAGCCATCCAACACGTGGTGAATTATGACATGCCTGAGGAGATTGAGAATTACGGTGAGACCCCGGTAGCAGACAGCGCTGCGTGAACTTGTCTCGGAGGATTAACGGATGGTGATCTAGAATGCTTGAACCATTCTCTAAACCACTGGAGAATTTCCTATGAAGTACATTATTTTGAAGGTTGCAGAACTGTAGCTGAGATCTTAAGGCTAAAGCGTGTCATTTGTTTGTCTTTCTGCGGTTGTCCAGTGCACAGAATAGGTCGTACAGGCCGATCTGGGAAGACTGGAATTGCTACCACTTTCATCAACAAATCCTGTGGTAAGATGACATTGATGATGATGTCGCTTTTTCCTCCATCTGGTGCTCTAGTAAAAGCTTTTGTACTTTGACAGACTTGACAGTCTTTTCTTAAAATATAACTTTCTCCAATGTCACGAAGGCAACAGAACACATACATGACACCGTGATCAACACAGTAACATAATTTCCACTGCATTTACAACATTTACATTTTTAACATTAAAACATGTATACAGACCACTCAACCCTCCAGCTTCCAGTACCCACATGACAGAGCAAAAACAGCTGGGAGGGTTTGTTTGTCAGCCTCTGCATTGTTATTGTTATCTCTGAGTGTTTAAATATGGCCACCCCGTGGCAGATCAGTGTTTTTGTTTTTAGCCACCCCGTGAGAGGACCTTGTCAAAGTGATCGTATTTGTTTTTCTGACTATATATGCGATCTAGAGGTAATCAAAACTCCTGTGCTCTTTGTGTATCTCCTTGTAGAGCTGAAAACGATGCCCTTCCCTTTACTTGTCTCCTTTCCTTAGATGAGTCGGTGCTAATGGACCTGAAGGCCCTGCTGATCGAGGCGAAGCAGAAGGTTCCACCTGTGTTACAGGTGCTGCAGACGGGAGACGAGACCATGCTGGATATCGGAGGTGAGACACGTGTTACTGGTCATAGGATCCAGTTCTCTGAGTCTTGTATGTGCTTTAATACAAACACAATCCATTGATCTTGGTGTAATTGACAACTTGTTATAAACATAAAAATGTAAGATATTTTTAATTGTAAGATATGAGTGGAGCCTGTTTGGGGCAGTATGGTTCATTGGGCACTGGGTTCTATTCCTGTGGAGCTAACTGCATAGAGTTTGCATGTTCTTGTGGGTTACCTCCGGGTGTTGCTGTTATTTCCTGAAGTCCAAAGACATGCTGGCAGGTTAATTTGCTTCTGGGAGAATTGGACCTGGTGTGTGTGGTTGTGGGTGCCCTGCATTAGACTGGCGTCCTAGCCATTAAAAATCTATATTAAACTTGATCTGTCTGGTGTTTGCCCAGTCTTGAATTTTATCTAAACCTCTTTAGAATTTTATTAAATGCCTCTGCTGTGTTTTCTGATCCTCCTAATTTAGCATCATCATAACAGGCCCCCTAACTATACCAGAATCTAGATCATTGATGTAAATTAGGGAGAGCACTGGTCTCTGGTACTTAGTGTAGAACCCTGTGGTGCTCCACTAACTAGATCATCACAGTTTAACTAGTCATTAGTTTGCAATCCAAACACTAGTGTTTCCCTGAATGCTTACCTCTTGCAATTGGAAAATTCCTCTTACATTATTAACTTTATCATGTAGCAGAAGTCAGACTTGTTGGCCTATAGTTATGTGATTCATTTTTCTAACCCTTTTTATGAATGGTCACAACATCTCTTGAATGTTTATAATTCTTCAGTCCCAGGGTATTACCCCTTTGTTAAGGAACTATTGGAAGAGGTGAGTCTATAGCTTCTGAATAACGTCTCTCATTTCCTTGAGTGCGATTGGTAACATACCACAAGGCCCGGGGATTTTATTAATTTGAGTGCTTCTAGTACCCAAAGTATTTTGCCTCTCCTATGCTACTACAATTAAATATCCTAATGTATAATACAGAACTTAATACTTCCACTGGCTGTGGTATATTGTGGAATTATTTTGTTTAGTACATGGGCCATTTCCCTTTCATTGTCTAGTAGTTTCCCATTTTTATCCCCAATTTAAAATAATCAAAATGATTATATTAAAAAAACAATCTACAACAATTTACCTAGATTGAAATATGATATTTAAGTTAATTTACTTTTATTTCGGCTTTTGCCAAAACAATGATTTGACACTCTAATGTACTACATATTATAAAGACTGTCATAGAAAATGAATAGCAGGAGCTAATAGACTTTCAGAGGACTGGTTAGGTTGATGTTGAAGTCCCCCTTAAAATGTTCTCAATTTGTTATTGACTGTCTGTGACTTCACGCTACTGGGTGTAATGGAAAGACTGTCCTTTTGCAGACAGAAATGAGGTTATAAGATTTCTTTTTTTAGAATTGTGGCAAACTAGCTCAATCACAAATTGAAACCACCTTAATGTCTACACTTCCTCTAACTGTCCATGTGCTAAGGGTAAAAAGGAGATGTATGAAACTGCACTTAAATTGAAAGATGTTAATTTGTAAGTTCAGTATTATTTTTTGATTCAAATTAGTGATAATGCTTGTACTCATTAAGTGAGTAACAATTGATGAACTGTTCACTGTTGATGCCATAAATTAGACTGTAAATAAGTAAACTGATCAAGTGAATGTTCAAGTATTATAAGAAAACATTATTTTTTCAACTTTTTTATAATAAACCACTTTCTGTGAATGTTTGTGGTCAATTAGTGATTATAAAAGCCTGTAACCTACAACATAATTCAAGGTTCATTGTTTCCATTCAGATTGCAATGAAAACAATAAGGCTGTTTGAGTAAAAACAATTTCCAAAGAAAGATTTAAGAATGTCAGTTTGGTTTGTCAATATTTTGTGTGCCTTCTTAAAGGAATGATAGAGCTCCACAGAAACAGAAGTAATATTTGCTTAGCAGATTTCTGATTGAATGAGAACTTGCAGTTTGAAGTTTATCTAGCACTGAATTGGAATGTTATTATTTTGAGTCTCTCTGGCAGTTTTCTTATCAGTTGTGTTTTTGTCTTCTTCAGGGGAGAGAGGCTGTACCTTCTGCGGTGGTTTGGGTCATCGCATCACTGATTGTCCCAAACTGGAGGCCATGCAGACCAAACAAGTCACTAACATTGGCCGTAAAGATTACTTGGCGCACAGCTCAATGGACTTTTAAATGACCCTGCCGAAATGCGGAGGAGAGTTTTTTGGCTGTTTTATTTGAAAAATATAATGTGCAGTGAATTATCAATTCACAATAAATTTGGACTTTTAATTCATACCTGAATTGAGAAATGAAAATTGATATTGACGGTATGTTCTTATACTAAACAGATCTATAGTCCCTGGTTTTTGTCTCAGTATTTTGTATATTTATAACATGGGTGTAAAGGTGTCCTTGGTTTTTTACCACATAAATACACTTTTTCTTCTAAGATGTGTTTTACACATCTGTAGTTCTGGTTATTGGTAAGATGCATATAAATTAATACTTGTAATCGTGTGCAAGTTTCATTTTACATTCAAGTGAAACAGTTTGCACTTTCCAACAGAAGGAAATATGCATACTCATCAACACATTTTTGTATGTAAGGTGTGAAAATTATTTTGGTTTATTTCAGGCGGTTGTCACCTTTATGCGTGTAAAATATGTGTGATTTGTGCCGCTGTGTAACGTTAAACTTAAGGTTAAGCTGTAAATTTAAGCTGCTACATTGGAATAATGTAAATAAAAGAACAGTAAACCTGATTCCCTGATTCTTTTCTTTCTGAGTGATAGTCATAGTTTAATAATGAAAAAGCACATACAGTATGTATGGTAGTTTGTCAAGAAAGCATGCGAGTGTCTTTTGCATGTTTTAGGTGTCACAACGCCTGTTTTCACATGTGAATGAGTGGCACGTGATAACCCAATAGGTTTGAGTTCCGTCTCTTATGTTGAGCTGCTTAGTCCTTGAGGAGTTTGATGGTTCTGGTATTGATTTTGATGTGATTGAGATTGCAGCGGCAGCTTGATACTGGTCTTATCTCAGCTTTTGAGAGCAAAATCGTCCGCTTTGTAGAACTTTGCATGTGCCTTGTAGCTCCCCGATCAAGGCCTACTCTTTACACCAGGGGTCTCTAACTCCTCCAACTCCCAGACCAGCAGTTTTATTAGTAACTTGTTTATATGTAGCAATTTGCCTGTGATAAATGAAATGGATGATCTGGTATAGTAGAATTCATTAAGACCAAAAACCAGAACACTCTTCAATTGAAGTGTTTTTTATCTTTAAAAAATGTGAGTTTGGGGTGACCTCTTTAACTAACTGGAGTGGGGATCTGCAGAACCAGATTTAGAGACCCCTGCTTTAAGCCATACAGTGTTATCCAGACAATGTACTATGTCCATTTTGGAGACTATTAAAAATAAAAAAAGTTTTCCTACTTTGCATTTTCTGAATTAAAACAAGCTTGTTCTTGTTTTAAACCCCAGTAGTGCAAATCGTTGAGAACTGATTTACATTTCTGAGTTGGCCGGTTTTATTTTTAAAAAAGCTGATTTTATTTTTTTTACTTCAGAGGGCACGTGAAATGTTTGATGTAGATGGAGTTAACTGGGGGCAGGGCGCATGCAGTGCATAGTTCAGACGGGATCCACAGCTACATTTCAGTTGTAAAACCAAGCGGTGTTCACTGAAAGAGTGATCATTTTCTAGTGGTGGAAAGGAAGCTGCAACCTTTTGTCCTCTTCTCCAACCATTGAAGGGCCCCGCAAGCACGTGACTCCTGCTCGGGGCTATGAAATCAGACCACTGTGTGCTGAAATGCCGTCCTGTCACTGGGAAGTCGCTGCTCGCCCACAGAGGAAGCTGTGCCCTGGACTGTGAGCTCAGGCTGTCAGCCTCGGCGCCCAGCTTGCCTGTGCTTCTGCAGCGCCATGGAACAGCCTGCCAGGGAGGGAATGTTATACATGCAAGGTGCCAAGTTTGGGATGGTGAGTTTGCGCCTCTCACTTGCTTGTTCTGTAGGTATCGGCCCCAAAGTGCAGCTGTAGTTAATGCCTTTGACATGCTACAGTATTTGTCATTTGACTTTAGCATATCAGACATGATTTGGAGTCGTCAGGCTGCTAACTCTTAGGATACCAGTGGATGTAGCTTAAATGAATATTATCCTCCACACTCTGAAGTATCCATTTCTGAGCTTTCATTCACGCAAGGAGGAATACTCATGTTTAATGTTCACGATATGTGCTCTGAGACTGAGAATACAGAGTGAGCATCCTTAGAAAATCTGAGATAAATTTTGCTTCGTTTCTGGCAATTCAGTAAAGAAATGTAAAGGCATTTCTGTTCTGCATCCTATGTTTATTGATAATAAATCTGTACAGTGGGCAAACATAATATAAGGCGTTTGGTTATTCATCAAGTTTTTGTTCACAAATATTTATTATTTCCCTTTTTTATCTGAATTATATTTGTTTTAACTCACATTATGTGAAATGAAATCAAAAACTACCAATCAAAATTCAATCAATAGAGGATCGTAAAACCATGAAGAACAACCCTTATGCGACTTAATGCTTCCATTGCTTTTTTTTTTCATATGGCCAACAGCAATCGTATTAAACATAAAAAATCATGGGCATGATCATGGAATTTGTGTTCTTTACTCTTACTGGGCCAGATCTAAAGTGAGTGTGTGGAGTTTTTGTTTCTGTTTGGTGGTTTAGGGGAATTAAGTTTTTGTTTGAATTTCATAAATGAAACAATGGAGTATTCTTCACATTTCTTATATGCTGCCTTGAGTTCAATTAAAAGAATCCCTAAAAACTCCTGACTTAATATGATGGCCAGTTTTTGGCATTACTTGATGCGTACTCAAGCATAATAACTAATCAGGGCTTTCTTGCCTTTAATATATACAGTTCTTGCTAGTTATCCATTGGAACCATCTGGCCTCATCTAGAATGTGCTGTTGTTTTAAAAAAATCTATGATTTTATATACAATTATGCTGCATCACATTGTCCTTTTGAGATGGTTTATAATCTGGGTTGAGTATCTAATTTTTGTAAACACTTCTCTAACTCACAGGAAACGGCCTGGCTATGAAGAAACATGTCTATTTTCCTGTTTGCTGTCATTAATATGTTCCCTACATCTGTGTTTCTAAGAAGCAGAATTCTGCCTACATTTTGTTGTGAAATAAAATGGACTACTTGTAGATTTTTCTGTTCCAGTTTATTTACTTTGCATAGATCTTTTTTCCACATCTGGTTTTTTAATCAATTAGTTTTTTTATAAGTTCCCTTTTTCTGTTATGCTTTCTGATGTTTACAGAAGTTGCTGTTCCTTTCTCGCTGCAGGGTGGAAAATGTGGTCCAATTTGTAGTATTTTTTTTTCTTTCGTGCTGTATGTGTGCAGCTCGTACTGGTTGCCAAGTCTTTGTCTGTTGCAGAATCACCAGTGTGTGCTACAAGAGAGGAATTGAACAAGGGTTAGGTGTAGGCTAGCAAAACAAAGACATATGTCTGGCACGATAGAAAATGGGGAAACTCCACGGAAGGCACTCTGTGTTTCTCTGTGAAACAAGGCAGTGTCTTTGTCTTTCTCTAAGAGTGCTCTGCTTTATCTGTGCAGAAGAGCTGGAAGAGAACTTGGGTGATGCTCTTCCAGGCCAGCCCCTATGGGATCGGCCGTGTGGAGCTGTGTGACATCAGAGACGGGGGGAGTGGGGGTGTCGCTGCAGCAGGGAAGCAGGGCCTGAAGAAGACCGACAAAAAGGTGATTCGCCTGGACGACTGCGTCAGCATCACCTCGGCCCCCCATGAGAGCTGCCCCAAGGACAGCATCGCCTTCTACCTCAACACCACCCAGCGCACGTACACTCTGGCGTCAGAGCAAGCCCAAGAGTGGATCACCAAGCTCTGCCAGCTGGCGTTTCAGGTATGACCCAGCAGAGTGCAACTGGTCTGAGGAAGGGGGCTGCAGTGCAGACTAAAAGTCATGCTTACACAGACTATTCTACCAAGGGTGAAGAAGACTTCTATATAGCCTGGCAATATTAAGGGGTGCTTTATATGTATTGAGAAGCCTACTGTGATAGAATCTATGGACAGTCTCATGTTATATAATAGTAAGGTGCAGAGGCCTTAAACCTATTTTGGTTTATCACATAGCAACGTAAAAGGTCTCTCAACATTTCCTCATCTTCCAGCTGGCATTATTCCGGATAATCATTACAATGTAGAATTGCCAGTACTGTTCTATTTCATTCTAACAACAAAGGAAGTATTTCATAGACTGGAATGTCAAGCAGAACAGAGCCTGGCAGCAAGTTACAGAATGTCTCATGTATAGATGAGACCAGTTATACACCATGGTTGTCTGAATGATCAGTGTTTAACCACAATCTGTTGCTTGATTAAAGCCCACGTTAGTGGTCAAATATGCTGAACTGCAGGGACGTAACTCGCAATATAAGTTATATTTTTCAGATGTGGATTAATTTGTGATTCTTTTTTTGGACTTCATAAGACAGTAAAGGGTAGCTTGTATCAGATGCATTCCTCCTGACAGATGTAGCCCCAACCATGTATAGACTTTATTGCTCTATGTGTGCGCACAGAACAGACACTATAGTGAGAGTGCTGGCAGTTCATATGGGGTTGTTTCCTTATTTATAATGCATGTTTTGCAGAAGAGAGATGGAGACACAAACACCGTGGCCAGACAGGAGAGCTCTGAGATACCGATGGAGGAGAATGAGCTGTATTCAGCATGGAAGAAGGGTATGTGTAAAAAATATTTTGCTCTTACAAAAACACATCTCTCTGGTGCCCACAGTCTATCATTGTTTCACCCAGGGGTGGGCAATCCTGGTGCTATAAGGAAGGCTGGTTTGGTTTTTGGTTTTCATTCCTTCTCTGACCTTCATTATGACTTAATGATCACCAATTAAGTGGATCTTAGGTCAAATCAGCTCTGTTTTCCAGGGAAAGGACAGGTGTTGTTTGAAGGGCACCTCTAAAGCAAGGATCCCCAATCCTGGTCCTTGGGGGCCAAGGTGTCTGTAGGTTTTTTAGGTCTCTTTAAAGCACCGGCAACTTCTCCCTGAGTTAATTTGACCCAATTAAGGCAATAACGAGGCTGTTAGGATTCCGGGTGGACTGAAATCCTGTAGACTGTCATGCCCTCCAGGAAGAGGATTGGGGTTAATAGGTCAAGGATCAAACTTGCCTAACCCTAGTTGTAGGATCCCTCATATCTGTGATAGCTGGAGGACAAGCTTATCAGGCAATGTTGTGCAATAGGATGTGTACCAACAGCAGTGAAAAATTATTTGGAGGTTTTTAAAATTATGTTCACATTCGTTGGTCATTTCTGCTCAATTCATATCTGAAAAGTAAAAAGAAAACTTTTCTTCATGTAGCAGATGTGAATATTTTTGGTTTTAGTTCTGAAACTTAAACATGAATAAGGCTAACTGGGTGTGTGTTCAGACGTATGTGTGATTCAAAGTGAAAAACAAACATGAATTCTGTTTTTTACTACCTGTAGAGAGAAACAGGTTAGAAATACTCATCCGGATTCAGTGAAAATTGCCAAGAAACAATTGGATAAAAAGTGAGCTCTAACTTTACTACAGGCAGTTTACCAGTTTACTACAAGTTTACCAGTTAACATTAGATAATTCATTATTAGGGGTGAAAATAGTTGTATTTCTGAAAGTGTCTCTGTGCAGTTAAACATTTCAACAGTTACAATACAGACTTTGAAAACAACAAATGTTTCCTTTTTAAATTGATTTTATATACCAATTTTTTATGGACCAAATTACTGGTGAGGGACAGAAATGCAACATCAAGGTTTGAGTTCTAAGGTTCTTGTGACTAATACTAGAAGAAACAGCACTAGTAAATATGCACAACAATTATGAATCTAAAAATACCTGAAAGAGATCTCTCTGAATAAAGCCACCACTTCAAAGTACCCAACTTCTTGAAATTAATTCTAAGTTTATCTTGGTCTTACATGTAGTTTCTAACGGTAAAACACTTTTGAGAAAAAAAAATATACGCAGTGTAAAAACATACAACATTGAGCTACACAATTATTTTCCATGACGAAAGATCATCATACTTAAATCTTACGCATTCCACGCTTGTATGCAAATTGTAGTTTGAACATTTATTTATATGCACACACTCTTATCTGACAGCCTAAATTTTTTTTAGATTCTTTTTTTTTTGTAGTAAAGCTACTGTACAGAAGCATATGTAAACAAAACTCTACAGTAATCAAAAGTGTTAACAGAATTTCAACTAATATCTGTCTGCCGGCTTGCAAATTTAATGGCTTGCTTTAAAGAGATTATATACCAGACTTCCATTTATATTCAGTGTTTTATGCTGTAACATCAAATCTAGTGCAGCCAACATGCTGTTCAGCAAGCATGCAGAAATTATTTTTGAACACAGGTTTCAGAACTGAGCATGTGATTGATTTCTTGTCTTGTAAACCTTTGTCTAAGCACTCTGACGTGCAGAGGCAGAATGATGGAAAGAAAAGTCTGAGAGTTGCTTTTTCTGTGAGCCTTCCAGTTCACTTATATTTATTGTTTTTCAAAACCAACAAAAATGTGTGATGCATAATTTCTATATTGAAGCAATATTAAAGAACATGTACATTGTTAGTGCAGTGTTTTATCTGAGAATATCTGAGATTCCTAGTGCCCTTCCCACATCCCTCCCAAACCTTCCCTCACAATTAAAGGAGAAAGAGACGGAAGACCCAAAATAGAGCATAGCTAAATGCTAATCATGCTAATAGTATATAGGAAACAAAAAAATGGAAGGCCAGTCCTGTCAGGTATCATCTGAGTCGCTGGTTAGCGACCTGCTCTTCATTTCTTTCATTGACAATCATTGCACTGGATTAGCAGTGATGCTGGATCCAGTGACCCACGTCAATGAATTGGCTTGGAAGTGCTGCATGATGGGTAATTCCTTCTGTTTAAGGACTCATTTTTATTTATATTGATTTTTTTCTGTCGTTTGGTTTTACGTTTGGCCTCTTTGATGCACTTACCCAGTCCTGCTTTTCACACAGATCAGGAGTATGAAGTAACTGTTCAGAAGACTGAGGCATCGGCGAGGTGTTGTCTCACAGGGACTTATCTTCTGGCTCTTGATGGAGAAGCTATCACCCTGCTTGATCCTCAGACAAAAGAAGTAGTGTACTACTGGCCTTACCAGCTGCTGAGACGCTTTGGCCAGGATAAGGTAGCCTTTCAACTTTTTCTATTTGGCTTGTTTAATCAAATTGCATGGGAATCCAGTTCTATAAAGACTAAAAACATGTTCTCAGGTTAACTTCATTTTTAAGCCCTGAATGTAGCATGATCATGTTGTTCTCAATATTCATGATCATACTCATTATTCCATCCATCCGTTTTCTGACCACTTCTTCCAATTCAGGGTCACTGGGGAGCTGGAGTCTGTCCCAGCAAGCAACGGGTGCAAGGCAGGGTACGCAGTAGACAGGACATGAGTCCATCGCAGGGCACACACAGGCAAAGACCCAAACACACACACTCACACCATGGTCAGCCTTTCCAGAAGCTAATTAACCTATCAGTATGTCTTTGGACAGTGAGAGAAAACTGCAGCACCTGGAGTAAGCCCACATGAACACAGGGAGAAACAAGCTCCACACAGGTAGCACCCCAAGAATCAGGCCCAGGGCCCCAGCACTACTCTAAGACAGCAGTGCTGAACACTGCATCACTGTGCCATTCATGCTTATTTTTCCTTTGAGTTAAAACAAGAGCAACAATTCACTCATATAAAACTCTTTTTATCACACACTAGGAACTCAGACCAGTCAATGAATAATTTGGATGTTTTTACTCATCCACCACCATTGTACCATTTGCACAGTGTGCTGGTTTAGAGGATTTTTACTCCCTAACCTCACATAAAGCTAATGTTCCAATTGATGCAGCACAATTTGACTCTCCAGCTCTTCATTGGTTTAGTCACACTTCACATCACGCTAAATGGCATTTTAATGACACTGGTGAGTGAGGATCCCAGCTGTTTTTTTTAATTATAGAAAACCCCAATTATTAATGGGATATCACTTAAAAGAAGATGATGAGCTTTCCTTGTTTATTCTTTCTAATGCTGATTTTTCTTTTTTCAGTGCTAAATTAATTAAGCTTGTGTTATGATGCACAATAAAAATACAAAAGTCTAGGTTCACGTCAGTAGGTCATTGTCTACATATATAATATTATTTACACTTTAAACGCTGAGAAGATGTGTTTCCTATGTTTTTGACTTGTGCTGTTCATTTGGATGACAAAACAAAGATGCAGCCCTGTGATTTCATAAAATCACTGCTAAAGTTGCTACAACAATAACTTCATTTTTATGGCTTATTTAAAAGTAGTTCAAGTAGGTAGCTGCATCAGCATGTGCAGGCTGCAAAGTAACAAGTAAAGGTTTATTCTGTGCTGAAAAGAGAAGAAAAAAAACACAACATTTAGGCTGTGGAGCCTTCATCAGGTGTGACACCCGAAGAAGGCTCCACAGTCAAAACGTTGTGTTTCTTTTCTTCTCTTTTCAGCATGGAATACGTCTTTAAAAGTAGCATTTAAAAGCTCTTGACAGTAGGTGTGCTGTAACGTATAAATTTACACTGAATAGTGAATTACAAAGTAAGTACATATAAGAAAGACAATTGATTAGAGGTGCAGTACTAGTTAGAGAATGGAGCATGCACAGACATTAATTAAGTAAAAGGCTTTCAGAAGAGAAAGGTTTTAAGTCTCGAAATGCAATCAGGGTAGGTGACTGTCTGATATCTTTGGGTATAGAATTCCAGAGCTCTGGGGTGTAGCGAGAGAAGGTTCTGTCTGTCATCCGTAGAATGTAAACGAGCTTGAGGGACACCTAGACCAGAGTCAGATGATTGAAGGCTGCGAGGTGGGAAGAAGACAGATAATAAGTCAGACAGTGCTGAGGTGCCAAGTCAGGTAAAGCCAGGTGAGCATGAGGATTGTTAGGAACCGGTTAGGAAGTTTCAGAAGTTTATGAAGTGCAAGGACTCGGGAACAGGAATAATGTGATTGCTTGCACACGGCCTAGTCTAGATTCTCTCTGCTCAATTCTGAATATAGTGGTGTTTGTTCAGTGTGGATTTAGTTACTCGAGTGAGCAGGGTGTGGCAGAAATCATTTCTATAAAAAACAAATGTGTTGACCAGCCCTTCTGCAACTGTCAAAGACAACAGAGGTTGCAGTCTCGAGATGTTTCTGAGATGGAAGAATAATGTTTTTACAATATTCTGCACATGAGCATTAAACATCAAGCCAGACTTAAGTTAAAGAATGACAGAGGTTCACCTGCATGCTCGGACATGGATAATATATATTGACACTTAATCGAAACAAACACCTTCTTCCGTGGACCAGAGAACATCTGATGTGACAGCAGAGAAACTGGTGGAGGGTTTTGTCTTGCCCTCGACAGACCTGATGAAAGACAAGGGTGGAAACATCACGTTGAGAGTTATGCTGATTATGGCATTGCTTAAACCAACAGGTGGAAGTGTGGTGGTGAACTGAGGAATCTCCTTTAAGAAAGGAACAATGTTATTTTCCAACAGGACCAAGCACTGATAACAGTGGCGAGACGTCAGGAAATCTGTGGGAATAACTCAGCAATGCAGACTGCTGAGTTGTTCTGTGACTGGCCAGACTTTGCTGTTGCTCTAGTCAGACCACTTTATTGGCTGATCACATCTACTGTAAGTGTCAGTGCTGTCAGAATCGTATTGGTACTCTGGGAGGTCATAGCCGGCAATAACTTTGTGATGTTTTCATTTTGACACGGTCATGGATTGTCCTAAGAGTTGATTCTTAAATCTTTAGTTTTGCTTTCTTTTCTATGACATTGTTAGATGCCTACTGTATGTGCAGTGGGACTGCTGGCATTTTAATGCCGCGCAGGAAGGTGCTGAATTTCAGTGGTGGCTAAAATTCCTTCCTACTGTATGTGCAAAGCACTTGGGAATCCTCTGGGATTAGAAATCCTTGCAAATGCAAGGATTTGTTATTATTAAATTGATTAAATGCATTAGTGCAGAGTATTACATTGGGTTTTTGCATCCTCATATTTGCAAAGATTTACTTTTTTGAATTAGGGAGCTATTTGACATTTTATGTTTATTAGAGGGTTGTTGTGGCTGGAAGTTTATTTCATATGTCAAAGAACTGAAATTTTCAAAGATAAGACATCTCCAAACAGATCTGCCTGATAGTTTGAAAGATACATAATGGGGAAAAAACCAAAACAAGAGTCTAAAGTAAAGTAACTTAAAAAACGTACATGATTCTTGCTGGCCTCTCCTCTTCTTGTTCCTGACCCTCCAGTGTGTGGTGGTGTTGCCCCTGACCTTTTGATGAACGAATGGCTCAGAGGTGGGCAGCATGGAGGACGCCAGACTCCTGGAACTAAGGCTTAGCTGCCTCTAGCACTTTGCCATTGGTTGAAAACTGCTTGCTGGACAGGTTCTTCACTAGTGTATTAAGGAGATGGGAATCACAGGAGGACCAAGGCTGGAGCACAGTGGTACACCTCCCATCTGTAACGTCATAAACATTCAGGGATACAGTTGGCAGTCTGTGGCATTTTGGATCGTATCATGTCAACATGTCAATATGTCAGTTTCAGCAGCAGAGAACAGCTGATCTGGGAGGATTTGTGAACAGCTGAGAGTTTCTTCAGTATTCACCGGGCTCACACTTTTCATCCCTCCAGCTCATTAATGAAATTGTGTACAGAAACCAAACAGATGCGGAAGCTCTTGCTGGTGGCAGCACGACTCATGCTTGTGTCTTCTCTAATCACGCTTTGCATGTAGAAAACATTGACAGGTGAATTGGAAGATATCTGTATGCTCAGGTCCCTGCTCATCTTGAACATCCTAGCATTACTGGAGGGACTGCACCACAGACAAACACATCTTATTCCATGACTTGACATGGAGGACATATATCTCTATGGGTTTATAATAAATTTTAATTGGTGCCATGACGCCTACATACACTAAATCGAATCACACCAAGAACCTCAGTCCTTGATCAGGTTTTGCTAGAGGCTCTTTTTTTTAATTGATGTTTAGTGTTAGCACAAGCAAATGCACACCCACCTGGGCTCATGACACAGAAGCTGTAAGAACCTTAACCTAGTCATGCTCACCAGGGTAACTTGTCTGTGGCCACAAGAGGCCTTGTTACCTCACTTATTGAAATGCTTTTGTTTTTATGTGACCTTGTGTGACAATTTATGCATGTAAACTTGTGTAATTTATGTGGCAATGTACTGTATGTGTGGACACCACATAAATTCTCTCCACAGCAAACTAAGAGAGGGTTGTAGAAAAAAACTTAATTTAATTCTTATAAACTACAAAAGTAATTCACAGAATGGCATATGGAATCTGAAAACTGATCTGTTAGGACCAATTACATGTATGTGCAGGGGGCTTTACCTGTAAGTAAAGTTTTATTGCTGTTATTATCCTAGGATGCGGTGACCTTTGAGGCTGGCAGGCGGTGTGAATCTGGGGAAGGCCACTTCACATTCCTGTCCAAAGATGTAACAAAGATCTACAGGACCATTGAAGATGCCATTGGACATCAGAAAAAGCAAATATGCATGATGAACCCAGAAATGGATGCGGTGCCCTCTCAGTCTTTCTCTCATTCCTCCACGCAGGAACACTGCCAGGTCATGTCAGCTTTCCACAACAGGGGAAGCAAAACAAGACAAGACCAGGAACTGCCACCTGAAGGCCTTGAGAAGACACGAACCCCCGCTCCAAAGCCACCCAGGAACCTTTTAGCACAAAAGAGAACGCCCAAATCCAGCCAGCAGCATGAGGATAGTTTTGAAAATGACCCTCAGAAAGCTGTTTATGCCACTGTGCAGGAACGTTCTGGTCAAGGAGCACTCCGAAGCGTTTTGAGCAGACAACATACCATCGAGAAGGAGGAGGAGGAAGATGAGGAAAACATTGAGGAGCAAGCGGCAGAGGAGGAGGAAGAGAAGGAGGAGGACTACTGGCAGAGGCAGGAAAAGGAAACGAAGCTTCCTTCAAAGCTGAAGAGCGTTCCCTCTTCTCCTGAAAACATCTCCCAGGATTACTGGGGAGCATACGCAAAGAAACCTACTCTTTATGACAACATGAAGAGCTGGGAACAGAACGAATCTGAAGACCAGGAACATTCTCCCAGTTCTGAGTGCCTCTATGCTCTGGCCTCTTTTCACAAGCAGTCAAACAAAGAGAAATGCTATGAGGAGGAAAGCGAAGTCTTAAGCCCCAGGTCTACAATTGTTACCAACACTGAAATCCCTGTAGACTTCAAGCAGAAGCTTTCTGATATCTTTGCAAAGGACAGAGTCAAAGTCTTACCAGCTCTTCCAGCCCGAAATATGGGGATCACGGACAGAACATATGATAACTAGCAGCTGTGACTGCAGTGGATATACAGTATATGCAAGCTCTGCATTGCTTTATTGTGGTATGTGAGGACATGAGACATGCAATACAAAAATCCTTTTCAAACAGCAGTTCAAAATGCACTTGGCCTGGTTCATATTCTCTATGTTTCATTCTTTCCAACAAATCTAATTAAACAGCAACAAGTATAAATGCTCAGAACACAGGAGGTTATAATTCAACTGAAGCTATTCAACCCATCTTTCCTCTTTGGTTGCTAGTAGCTAATTAAACTCAGAATCACAGAACCCAGTTCTGTCTTGAAATATTACAGACGTTTTGCAGATTTGAATACACCTACGTTTGGTTTCCAATCCAGGATTTTAAATGTTATTTTGCCTTGTGGCCACTTCTATGGCTAAATCACCTTTTTATTAAATACTTGGTATTGATTAGTTATGTGATTTAATCAGTCAAGGGTCCATAGAGAACATAAGTGAAGAAAAGAAAGCAGGTATGCTTGTAGAGGATGATGACAGTAACAGGGTAAGAATGAAAAGCAACTTATTTAAACTGTATAATAATACTGCACATGTAACTTCCAGTTCTGTCCCATGGCTCTTAGCACAGCAAGTGCTGTAAACGTCTTATTTCGATCATCCCTTAGACGCAAAAAAAAAAAAAACAGTGAAAGGTATGAAACTCTAAAATTCAAATCAAAAGCATACAGAAAAGGTAATATTTTTCGGTTATATAGTATAATGAGTTAGAGAGCTTCATACACATTAGACCTATGCTTTCAATCGAAACATTTGTTTTCACAAAGTCCATGTTGAATCAAACTTTGTTGAATAGTAAACATTACAAAATTACAAAACACCCTTTTATATATACACTGTATGCGGATATACACATAGAACCTTGTTTTTCACTTCTTAGTTTTGGTTTTCTCGCGATTTCAAAGATATATAATTCAATTTATTCTGACACGCCAAATGACAACATAGTTTATCCACAATTCTCACGGGAGACTGAAAAAATGCTCCTTTAAAATTTATTTCGTTCCTTTTGTAATCCTCAAATTAATCACCTAGGATAAGATGCTGGATTTAAAACTCGGGACATCACAATTACACTTTAATGTTCTGAGTACATTACTCAGTAGATTAAAAACAGAAATGAAACCTTAGACATCTGATAACGAAGAAACTTTTCTTTTGACCTTTTCAGTTAGTATAACCTGAGCTTTAAATAATACAAATACAGATCCTTCAGAATTAATGAGGACATGAGTCAGAGAAAATGCTTTTCCGTTTACACGCTGGATCTTTTTATATTTTTAATTCCACTTTAACGAACAAAAACGGGAAGAAGAATATTTGAACTTTGTGAAAAATTTATTTAGCATCGTTCGAAAACAAATTAAATAATAACATCGATAAAATAACAAGAATAGTTCACTACTTTTTGGATGGACAGTAAAACATAAATAACAAAATAACATACATTTAAAATGTGTGAAGACAATGCATTACAGAGTTAAAACAGTCTCTACGACCAGTTTCCATCAACTACCCTATCTTTTTTTCCATAAAGTGCAACTATAAGCAATCTCACCTGCATTTTTCTATAAGAATATATTAATTACATTAAAAATAAAGTTAGTCATAGATCCTCTGCATATAGTGTTTTATTTGGAACTTGGAGTAGTGAGACAAAGAACATTTTATTTCTTACGGTGATGAGAGCGTTCTTAACCTTTATTTAAAAGATTTATAATGTTTTGCCTTAATAAACGGGGTTGGCATTTTTGTGACATTGTCCCCGTTTAAAAACCCTGAGCTTAAGCATTTTGGTTAAAAAGCACATGTTCTTACATAGATTAATTTAGAGTTCTTAACTGTAAGATAGAATCCAAACTTACGAAAAACGACAGTGATGTGCCATTGTGTTTTAACAAGAACAAGACAATACAAGGGCACAACTTCGACGAGACTTTTGCCTTCAAATGTATCCCGGATCCCTTTTGTAGTACACAAAGAAAATACACGTGTGGTAAAGATAGACAAAGTTATATTCTCTCGTACGTAGAAGAGTTTAACGGGCATTTAACGTGTCAAGCCATACGTTTAGACCAGCCAAAATGTATTTCCCTTAGATTCGTCGGACATTTCCTCAGAAAATATATTGAAGATAACATTTAAAGGAGAAAAAAAAAAGAAAACTCATTCGGCAGTTTATAGGCAACACACCTTCTGGATTTAGTTTGTTACTCGAGAACAGACTTTTGAAGCAGACAAAAAACGATTTACGAAAAAGAAACATTACTGACAAGCGAGTAAGATAGTTGTGTGCAGGTCTTGCACAAGATGTGTGGGTGTGTCGATTCCACAGCATCTGGGTTACAGTGAATAATCGCGTGTCATTCTACTACAAACTTCTTACTTCCTGTGAAACTTCCTTTTTCCGTCTCCTAAACACAGCAATGAACCCACTATCTAGGTCGAGTGCCCTATAAGTTACTTGCCTGTTTTGTAAAGTGTATATAAAAGCTGTAGTGCGGATGGTACTATCGTTTCTACGCCGGTCACGCACAGTTCTGTCTACTCTAAAGCACTCATTTTCATCCTGGCCTAAGGCAGTCCGGTTAATGTCTTTCCGAGTGTCCGTCCTCGCAGTCACTGCAGTTGGGAGACTCTCCGTCGCTGCCGTTAGAGGACGCCCCCATGCTCTTGCTGTCGCTCCCCAGAGCCGGCTTCGGGTTCGAGAGGATAATCAGGTGCCCGACCGCAGCGGTCACGCCCTGAGACTCGCCGAGCGCGGAGAACCGGGCGGAGGAGGGCGGGTTGTCCAGGGAGTAATTCGCGCTGCTCCCGACCCTCACTTCGGGCAAGCACGTTTGCGGCTGGCTGCTTGTCCTCACCTGGCCCCCCAGGTCTCCGCCGAGACTGTCGCCAGCGCCGCTCCTGCAGTCGGTTTTGCCCACGCCGGCCAGTAGCTCGGAGAGTTCAGTGATGTATATTTGCGCCATCTGCAGAGTGTCATACTTGGACAGCTTCTTTTCGTTTTCCAGGGAGGGAATGACGCTTCTCAGCTTGTCAAACGCCCTGTTGAGCCCGTGCATCCTCCGCCTCTCTCTTGCGTTGGCAGCCACCCGCCTGTGCTTCTGCGGGCCGGGGTAGTGAGAGATGCTCCGCTTATTCGCGTCTCCTCTCAATTTATCAAAGTCCCTCTCGTTCATAACAGCGCTGTTGGATAATGCATTCCTGGATACCATTTTTTGGAGGTCAACTTCTAGTGACCCGTGGTCGTACAGAGCCGGGACCGCTCCTCCCGGGGCCGGGAATGAAACGGGCCCCGGACCCCCAGGCTGGAAAGGGCTCAGCCAGCTCCTCGGGTCGCTGTGCGCCAATCTCGAGATTTCGGAAAACTTGAGTTCCTCACTGTGGCATTCCTGGATGCTCCCATCGGTCCAGCTCAGCAAGGCTAGTTTTGCATTTGTCAGGGTCATCTTCTAATGTCAGATACAACTGAAAACGGAATGTTATTTTAGTTGTACTTATCCGATTCTACAAATCGGACAAACTGATGTAACATAACAATATGCAGGCACGGAAATAAGTCAACTTTCACGCAGTTTATGTGCTGCAATTTCCTACTGCTTCTCTTATATGTTTGCGCACTATCCTAATTACCCAATTTTTTATGCCACCTGGTAGCTATGTGTTTGAGAAGGGCTGCAGTGAATGACTCACTTTTATCAGCTGTGCTGCACCCTCTCCACTCTTTAAATTCTGCAACTGCTGCTGTCCCCGCCCTATTCCACTGCGCGTCTGGGTCTTGACTGCCAATCCTAAACTCTGTGCAGCGGACAACCACCGTCAACAACAAAAAAAGTTGTAATAAGATTCAAAACAATTCAAGCGCAATGAATCGCACGAACTCAATGGCTAGCCTATTTTCTACAGAGTTTAACCCATTCTCCACGACTTCTACATCCCAAATAACACGTCTGCATCGAAAATAAATATTTCCGTCCCTGTATATATAAAACTGTCACATGGAAGGATGAATTATCGTTTCATTTATAGGATTGCCAATAAGAACAATCATGGTTAATAAAATGTCTTCGTGTTTATTTAATGAAGAAGTGAGACTTGAAAAATACACTTTCCACACACAGTTTCATATACGGTTCACGAATTATTTTCGCACCCCAGTGCCAAATGCTAACACTTGAAAATGTTATATCCGACGTTGCGACTGAATATTTAAAAAGCTGAAGTCATTACACTATTCCTTGCTCTTGCAAGAGAGGTCACGTTCAGCCCTTCTTACAGATGATCAGTCAATAATATTTTTTGTTTGTTTTTCTTTTTGTTTCTAAAAAGAAAAATGTTTTTGTCACGCTCTTGATGCGCGACACACAACTTGCTAAATACGATTTTACTTTAAAGCTGAATATGATGATACCCCGATAAAGAGCTTCTAAAACCACAGTCTGAAATGAGTTCACTAATTTGTCTTTTATTTTATGCAGTAGGATTGCGCAACATGGTAGGTTTAATTGGGCCACATCCTGAATTAGATTAAATATGATTCAGATTTACCAAAACGTTGGTGTCTTGCGCATAGATTAAGTACCATTGGACGTTACGTTTTGTCACCTTAAACAAATATTTTTCCAAATTCTTCCTGCAAACTAGGTGGCATGTTGTTCAAATTTGCTAAATTAGTATAAAGCATATCAAAATATCAAAAATACGAAAAATAATCATATTAATTATTAATCCAGCTCCCGGATGTGTCCCATTATGGAGGATTACGTTAAATAGCGAGCAGCCCAAATTGCTGCAAACATCCCATATTGACTGAGCCAGATCACCTTATACAAACACTGACATGCACGACGCCGGAGCCCGTCTTAATAACAGTGTATCAGACTATCACATGTTTAAAACTTTATTATCCCGTAGTACATCTATTCCGTACAATATATTGTCGAGATAAGATACCGTTTTAGCCACAAGCCATCCTGAGGTGGATAGTGCCAGTGCGGGGAAGTGACTGTTAACTTGTGGTCGGACAGTTCCCATACAAAGTTGTAAAAACGGATAATCTTGAGTGCGTTATGAGAAACCATAAAACGAACAGGTGAAAAACAAGCCGACGGAGGAGCACCTGTCGCAGGAAAAGACCTGGAGCACTTGAACTGATAAACTCGATACAAGAATACTTTTATTTACCCAGAAAACTGCGCTCACAGTGAAAATGCTTTGGATTTTTATTTTTATTTTTTAAGAATGGGTCCCCCTCTTTGTATTTTACAGTACATGTCCTCCTTTAAGGATATCATCCCGTTTTGCGCTTTATAGTAGCGGGATAAGACTCTACGCATGTCACGTCTCTTACTAGAAATAAGCGGAATTATAAGTATTAATAATTTATTATTATTATTATTAGTAGTAGTAGTAGTAAATCTATTAAACCCTGCATTGTCTTTTTTAGTCCCTCTGCGCCACGTGCTGCAGAGTCCAAGAAAGTTTCATCTTCCATATGCTGCGCAACTAAACTGTTTAACTTTCAGGGGCTCTTTATTCACTGGAACAAGCTCCTGTGGTTCATCACTCATTGAAGACGCATCAGTCTGCATGATCATTTTTTACTTACTCCTCTCGTCATTAAAGCTCACAGTGGGCAGAGTCAACGATCAGACATTCTTTATAGTCGCCACGACACATCACAACCTGATTAATTAAGATCATTGCAATGTCGTCTGGGGTAGGCTGATTGGCAATTAAAGTACAGGTGACGGATTAAACGACGTGCCGCAATTTATAAACTCATTTATTGTCACTGTAGACATGTTTTTCTTCAAAAGTAACGTCGATTTGATGCACTACCTTGTCAGGATTAAGTGAATATTCTCGCAATAATCATATAATGACACGAAAACATAAAGCAGTTCATAAGATACAGTGGTGTTTGAAATTTGACATAATTGCTCTCTGCGATAAAATGTTTTGATCCTAGTCTCCAGTGGGGAGGAACAGGCATGGTCTTTCGATAGGTCGAGCCGGATGTTCAAACCTACAGTATGTTTCTTGTTGCTTCATTCTCAAACGGATGTGCAGAGCTTTAGGCATCTTTACAAATCATAAGCAACGCGGCTTGAGGTTTGAAGGAGCGACCTAAAACCAATGATTTATTGCCACTACCTTATCTAAAATTAGTCAAAAGATTTTTTTGTCCGTTTGCATCGATTGCCGTACCATAAAACTTGTCTTATCCGTGTGTTTAGCTCCGGCTGCAGCTGGGGAATGAGAAAATGAAAATAATATTGACCAGTGAATTTCTAATCTACATTAAAGGCGACAAACTGGGCACGGGCTTAGTCTTTCTTCAGAGAACTCCCGTTTGCTCACTTATCTGAAGTTTACGAGAACAAATCCAAACCGAAAAGATATTTTTACAGTTTCTAGAAATTTAGCGATGGTACTCCACTCATAAATCAGTGATTGTTGTATGGATTGTACTGAAACCATCAGTCCGTGTTTTCTGACAACAAACGCTTTAATTAAGAACTGTTTCAGTGTGTTTACGCTTTCTGATGTCTTCTTCTGTGTCTTTAAAATAAATATTTCACAACTGACATACTATGCCGAATGCCAAAAAAAAAGAAGAAAAAAAAAAGACAACGAAGCCGACAGTTATTGGATTGGAAACTCTGACCCATCCCGAGCTACACACGCAATTAAATATAGGATGCTCATAATACCAAAGGCAACAAAGAAAATGCTTTTTTTTTGGAGAGGGGTACCCTAATATGCATACACGGGGAAACAGGCGGTGAACGCTGGCTGTGGTATCGAGGAAATTGCCGTGACCTTCCCTCCCGCCGACGAGTTAATGAGCCTTGCCGCGGTTGGTTAAACGGGCACTCTCTCCAACCAGGGGAGCCCTTTCATTCCTCCATGAATATTTCATTCCCCTGTCCCCCCACCACCGCCGCGACAGCCTGTAGCCCTGCCGACTGAAGGGTGAGGGTGCCGGGCTTCACTTTCCATCTGCTGCGCGGTGGGGGGGGGGAGGAGAGGCGGGAGGGACTTGTGGTCGTGTGGGCATCATCAGCGGGGTCACTTCTGGTTTCAAAAGTCAGCGCGATTTGGGGGGCTGTACAGCTTTTGAGTCCGCGTGTGGTTTCCGGGTTGCATTACGTACTTTCTGTTAGGTTACATTTTAATTTTCTTGCAACAGCATGGAACAACAACAAAAAAAGAAACTTTCCTTAGGATTTCCAGGTAATCGGGCAAGTGTGAACTTCAGGAACACGTGCATCGGGAAAATCAGCACACTACCCAGATCCTCTTTGCTTTATTTTCACCTCAAATACAATCTGCATAATTATGTTGTTTCGTCCTGTATTCTTTTGAATTATGTATGTGGTTTTAAAGGTCAGCAGATAATGTATCATGTTGAGCCAGATCCAGAGTTTAGGAGCACTAAGCACTAATGTATAAGTCCTCAGAGGGATCACTGCAGAGCGGAGCTGAAGGTTATTTGAATGCCTGGCCCAGGTCGTGCAGTTGATCATGCTGTATTTTCTCTGTTGATCACACACGTACAGTATGTATTATGCAAACACTTTTTTGTATGCCCTTTATATGTGCTGTATATATTGTACCATTGACACAGCTAATAAATATGGCATATTTAAGACATTAAACCATCTAGTGACGTGGCATTGGTAGCTCATAGCACACTGGAATTCAGGTGGGATGATCAGTAATCAAGGAGCAACAGCTACTGTATATGTGGCAGTTTGCAAGGCACTGAACCAGACTTGCATAGTTTGCACGGTTTTCACATTTTGTTGCTTTAAATTTTGCAGTCATGACACTTTAAAATAGCAATCAATATTTGCTAAAAGCAGAACCTACTTTGCACACCCAAAACAGAAAACAAAAGGAAAGAAAGACAAAAAACAAGTTTGCAAACCTGAATTAAGTTCAACACACAACATTACTCTAAAGAACCAGTACAATTACCTTAAACAATTACGATGTGTGCAATAACAGGGCTTCATATGATTTCAAAATGCATCCATCTCTGTAGGATCCTTCAGTCAAACAAAGAGTCAACTCTTTTTTCAAAGAATGACTTCAAAAAAGCTACAGAGGTCAGTGGCTGCGATGGGAGAAAATGTCCTTACTGTACAGTATGGCAGAGAGTCCAGAAAGAAGTCTCTACTGCACAACAATCCCAGGTCCTGTCTGGAGTCTGCAACAAAGAAAACGGGAGAGCTTGTAAAGGAGATCCCCAGGAAACTTGAGAGAGGTTGAGCAAACCTGCCCAGAGGAGTGGAAAGGAACAGCACCAGTTTTGTGTGCATGGTTGGTGGAGGGCAAAGGTAATTCCACCAGATATTATGTTCCCATGTGTGAGTGCTTAATCAACATCAACATATTTAATGTTTTGCTGACAATTACTGTAGCTTGTTGACCCTTAGAAGTCTTCAATATGAATACTTTCCCCAGGACACTACAACATTGGCTGTGCAAGTGTAAAAGGTGGAAGAACAAGTGGTGGAGCATGTGTTATGATCCAGCATCATATTCGGGCAAGAGCGAGTTAATATTCCTACCCACAATAGGTACAGTTCCACTGCTGTTGCTTTCTTTTTCTTGAACTCGCCAGTCATTTGCTCTCATCTTTGCAGTATCAGTACTTTCTGCACATAAGAGATGAGTCGAGACAAGTGCCTTACTAGCTGGTTTACCCCCTCTCCCCAGAATGAGCAACGTAATGAACAGTACAGTACATACTGTACACCTTGGGCTTTAATATTGGTTTCAATTTGCTCTTTTAGGCTCCCAACTCTCTTCTCAGCTTGAGCGCTCTCCATGAGAATCGCTTGTTCACTATCCCTGGTGAGACCAGCTTGTGATGATGTACCTGATATTGATGCTTCAGGGGTTTTTCAGTTTATCACTTGCTGCTGTAGAAGGGCTCTCATATGGTAGTATCTGTCTGCAGGTTATAAGGCATTTTCTACCAAGAGCAGGGGAAGGATTTGAACACTGAAGTAGTGTCCAAGGAAATCTACTTGCTCTGCTCTGA